TGGAATCCAAGCTTTTACTCATCTCTTTATCAAGCAACAACATTGCACTTGCATCATGGAATGCAATCATTTACGTAAGTATAACTTAATTTTTTTCTTAAATAATTGTCTTTTTATCTAATTAGTTTTCTTAATTTTTCAAATAACAATAAATAATACAAATGCCATTTGGAATATAATAATTAGTAGCTACAAATAAAAGAATTAAAAATTGTATATTTTTTCTCCATTTCATTTATTCAAATAATAAAAGTTTTTTAAATAAATTTCTAAAAATAAGAAACATATTATATATTAAAAATTATTTGAATATATAAAATACAATATTTGAATACAATATATAAATAAAATAAAGTAGAAAAAATAAATTAATAAATAAGCCTATATTTAAAAACTTTAATATAAAAAAATCTATGCAAAAATTAATTTAATTAATATTATATCTGTAATCTCTTTAAAAAAAAAGTAGAAAATTTATATTACCAATTAAAAATTAATCTCTATCAAACAATTAAAATATATTAAATAAACAATTAAAAATTTATGTATTGTAGATCGTTAGATGTAGAACGTCTCTCGGAACAGAGTGGACCAACAAATCAAATCGATTTGAAATCCAGCTCGAGCTCAATGGCAGGCAGTGATGATTCCTTGGACAAAAGCGATCTAGACGAAAACACGGAATCCCAAGATCACTACAAACCGTTTCAAAATTCACCTATTATTCTAGAACTTGGCCAAAAAATCGGTAGCGATCGTAGTGCATTCGTGAGACATAATACATCCGGTTCGTCTGTAAATCTCGAGAATCGACAGAGCCCACCTCCGGCGACCAGTGACAAACAGAAGATAATGTCACCGCGAATTTTGGAAACTGGAAATGAGCAGAGCACTATGGCCAAAGAAATAGCGGTCGAGGAAAGACCGACACAACCCCAGAGAAAGAGAAATCCTTATTCGATAGAGGAACTTCTGAAAAAAGATGAGGGTAAAAGCATCTCGAAAAGGCCGAAATTAACGAATCTCGGCGTAGTTCAACCCTGTGGAATTATCTTGAATAAAGAAATCTGAAGGATTTGGAAGAGGGAGGAAAATTTCAAGATCTGGTAATAGAGGCTAAAAATAAGATGATCGTCTGGATTTGGGAGAATTTTCGATACAAAAATAAATAAGGTGAATATGTTGTAAAAAACGTTGAAGATAAACATGAAACATTGTTTTAAGATATAAAAGGAACTAGAAAAGAGAAAATTATATAATTAAAAGAATGATTAATGAATATAAATGATAAACTTGGACTAAGTTTATATTTGGTATCGATGGCTATCTGTGACATTTTTAGGATTTAATGATATAGGAAATTAAAATGTTTATTAAAGATCCAATAATCTTTGATAATTTATTGTAATCTCTGAGTGACTTGTTAAATGACGAAATAAGAATGGCTTTTTTTTAATGCTAATATTTGTTTTTATTAATATATTTATAATATATATTATTATAATATATTTTGAATGAAAAAGTTTGTAATGAAACAATTTTTCAACAATTTAAATAAAATTATCGCAAAATTTTTTTTTCTATGACAAAAAGTTATAAATGAGATTTATGAAAAAAATATGAAAATGAAATTTCTAATTTTTTTTCAATGAAATATTTGATTATTGGATATAAATATTAATTAATAATAAATATTAATAAGGATATAATTCCACTGAAAATATCAAATATAAATTCACTGATCAATTTGATTTATTTGATGAAAGAATCAATGAATGATGTTTTTAAATATTGAAAAATATTCATATCTGTACATTTTTAATTCTTTAGATTGCATTAAAAAATATTTATAGAATTATCAAAAGAATAAACAAATATTATCTTTTTTCAAAAATATAAATAAAATCTTATAAACTTTATTAAAAACTTAAAAAATTATAAAAATCAGAGTAATATAATATTTTAGTTAATAAAATACTTTTTTTAGAATAATTATTTGAAAATTATTTAATCTTTTAAAAAAAACTATTATTTGATTAATTTTTACGAAATTTATTTATTAAATAATTAATTAACACATTATTTTAAAAGGATTAAAATGCATTTACTAATTAAAAATTCAAAATGATTGGTGTAAAACATATAAGATGGGAATGTGACATAATTTATTAAAAAGAAGAATAACGAAGTTGAATACAAATTTTTAAAAAAATAAAAAAGAAATTACAACTTTATCAAATGTTCGAAAATCTCGAAAATTAAAGCGATCGTCATTATATTACCGACACGAAAAAAAGTATAAATTGTATGTAACATTAGCATGAATCGTCGATTATGTATTGTTGACTGCAATATCGTAGATTAAACATAAGTCTGTTAAACTAATTTATAATTAAATTATTTTTATTCATTTTTCCATATCTGATATTGTCGATATTTCGATGATCTATTTCTTTTAAAGCAAATGAATATCTCGTCGACATACATATGGATAATAACATCACATATGAATATTAGATTTTATGATTTATGATGATTTTCAGCAGGATCAATTTTATGATCTCTGAATACTGAGATTTTTTTGTTGCGTAATTTGTGTGTGGTATAATTTTGTTTTGTGAGCGGGATGATGCCATATTATTATGTATGATATTTAATTTTTATTTGATCAAAGATACTTTGACGTATTCTAATAAAATAAAATGATTAGTAACCTTAACAAAAATGTTTATTTTTATTTATCATGTTAGAATAAAAAATTTCAATCAATTGGAATTCATATTTTAATAATATTAATCAAAATTTTTATATAATTATCAAAATAAATATTTTTTTCAAAGATTAATAATTATTAATTTAATATTAATACGATAAATATTAATTATAAGTAAATTAATTAAATAAAAATGTTCTAAAGAATTATCTTACTGATGAAAAATTCATTTAATAATTTTAATCAACATCCATCTTAACAGAATTAAATAATCTATTTGAATAACGTAAATTCATTTGAACATGATCGATTTACGAAAAGAATCTTTCATGGGATGTCATAAAATAATTTTAATTTCAATAAAAAATCAACAAAATATATTAAAATAAAAGTCAAGTTCATTCATGAAATCATGATTAGCATATAATCCGAAAAAAAATTACGCCGAACTTGACAGAAAGTGCAATTAAACGAAAGTTCAATAAAGCATGTATCGACATATAGAATAGCCGGAGTGCAAATAATAAAATCATAAATAATTTTAGTCCAAATGTCTCATATGTGAACATTAATGTACATAAGTGTACATTTTATAAAATATGACAGAGATGATGGTCTCTGTAAAAAGAAAATGAAATTAAATAAAGGATCGCATTTTATAGACAATATTCTTTCTTTTGCATTTATAATATTATAAAAACTTTTTATTTATCTTTTCATCACGAATTAATTAATGCATCATAAAATGCTAATGCATCAACATCCGTCTATTTATTTGTTTTCTTTTAAGCAATGCTTGCTTATGAATTTTGATATTTTGTGAGTCATCTCGAATTGATTTATAATAATGCCAATGATAATAAAAAAATTAACAAGATATAAATCTGAAAATACTGATTTTTATTTATTGAATAGCAATATTTAGAATAAATAGATTTTTTAAAGATTATATTGAGAATTCGAATAATATAAAAAATAACTTAAAATTATTATTAAACAAATAAATTTTCTTTCTAGAATTCTACATTTCAAATTCTGCTATTTTAAATTTCAAGAAAAAAATTAAAATATACAATTCAAAATACAAATGTTACATATTTATTTTTAAATTTCAATAATTCCACAATTATGAAGATAATTAATAATAAAATTAAAATTTAAATATTATAAACAAGCTATTCATATTATTCTATTAATTATATCCACAGACAAAATATAGAATAAATGTATATAGAATAAATATAGAATAAATATTCAATACTTTTTAAGAATTCAGTAATTATCAGATTTTTTTTTTATTATTTTCATGTTATTTGCGATATTACCTATTTGTAATGTAGAAAACGATTGTAGAGTTATTAGCAATCGGAATAAAAATTTCGATTTTACTATAAAAATTATAGATAAAATACGTATCAAAGCAATTTATAAGGAACAAAGTATAGATACATTTATATTTCTCGATTTAATCGTACTTGTATATTTATAATGTAGATGACTATGAAATATTTAATTATTACGGTAATTCTGAGCAAAATTCATTATATTCTTAATTTTTTTTTATTTTATTGCATTTTAAACATTATATATGAATAAATTTTTATTTTCAAAATTATTAATGCAATGAATATGACTTTTTTAATTTTATTTATGAAGAAAATTGAATAATAAATAAATAATTATTTTTAATACAAAAAATAATTTTTATAATCTTCGAATTAATAAAAATTATAAAAATTATAAAAAAAATATTATTTACCAATTTTTAAATAAAATATTATTAAAAATTTGGAAAACTACTATTATATATATAAATTATACATAGTTTAAAATTTACTTTATTACTTATTAAAAGTTACTTTAAAAGTTTATTTAAAAACTGGTGTTTAATCAACTATTAAATTTTTCGTCATTAATTAATTTAATAATTTCAATGAAATAAATTTTATAAATAATAATGAAATTATTAACTACACATTATTACTATTATTAACTACTTATATATGTTACATGTACACATTTTTTTTATTTTTTTTTATGATATAGATTAGATTTTTAAAGTTGGCTCGATCATATTTAGATGTATCTATCCTTTACTTTTGCTAGAAATGAGTAAAATTGTTAATTATTTCAATAATTTATTATTCAAAACATCGAATAACTACAACAATAACTATAACATGTAACAACTGAAATTATACAAAGAGTAATCAACTATAAAGTAAGTAAATATTCGATCTTTTTCGAATAAAGTTATTAATTAAAGTAACTAATTAATTTTTTACTCTTTTAATGCCTAATTTTGATTTGTGTTATAATATGGTTGCATTAGCAACAGTTTGTTAACGATATATGTACTAGGCATATATTATTTATATTGTGTTACATTGGTTACCAAGCAACCATTTAATACAACACAAACTTCAGTAGAATGAGAAATATCTATTACAATTGATATATTTTATTTATAATTAACAATGGTAGACGATGTAAAACCGGAAACAATTAAAAAAACTCAAGATTTACTCGGAAAGTATTTCAAAAAACCACCACTTACCGAAAAATTATTAAAAAAACCACCATTTCGATTTCTTCATGATATTGTATCAGCAGTAATGTATTTCTTACTTATGTTCTAAATAAAACAAATATAAAAAATCTTTGTTACTAATAAATAAATGATATTGTAGATCATAAGTGAAACTGGTTTTTTAAATGGTTTATATTCAGAGGAGGAGCTAAATTCAGAAAATATAAAAAACAAAGAGGCGAAACTGGCTTATTTAACAAAATTGATCGATGTTGTCAGTAAGTTATAATTTTTTTTTATCATAAAAATATAATATTATTTGTATTCAAATATATCATGCAATAATTTCAGAGTTAGTTACTGGAATTAATTTATCTGTAAGAGCCAGTAAGATAATTTCAGGTCAAGAACCAACTAAAACAAATGAATTATTGCAAGCAATTGGAAAAGCTTTAGATAAAAAGGTAATATTATTCAAATATGTAAATATGAAAAAGAAATTAACAGAAAAATTAATGATATTTTAATGTCAAAACTTTTTTTTATAGAAGAATATTTATAAAACTTTTAGGATTTTTTTTATTTATTAAAAAATTTTGAGATTATAAAAATTATATTTTTAACGTTAGAAATGCATAGAATCAAAAATAATATCTCACTATTAAATCAAAAATATTTAAATATTTAAATAAATGCTTATTTTATAGGTTACCATATTGGTTGTCATATTGCCTCTTCTCACTGTATTACCAATGAAAAGTTTCCATTTTCTCTTGTAATGATATCACAAATATATTGAGATATATATATAACTAGAATATTGATTGTAAATTGATTATTCAGTATCCATCCATAGCGAGTTTGAACATTCTATGAATTTATGAAATATGAAAATAAAATATAAACCAATTGGGTGACCGAAATTACAATGATTTAGTATCTTTTATTTCTATACAAATACAAGCAGTGAGAGAAGCCAATTTGATGGCCAATTTTGAAATGAAAGATTTCTAAATACACATATTCCTTCTTTTGTATTCCTCCTAAATAAAATTAAAATAAAATGATAATTTTATTTGAAATCTACTTATTATATATTTATTGTATAATTAATATATCAATTCATAAAAAAGGAACACTCAAAATTTTCTGTTCCTGAAACTAAAACCTATTTTATAAATTAAACAGATAAGTAGTGTGGAAGCTATCGAACAATATAAAAAAAATTTTGGAAAAAATAAATCTAGTTCAAAAAATAAATCATCTATAACGAAAAATGAAAAGAGATCATCATCAAAAGAAACATTACAAAAAAAAACTACGTCAACAAAAGAAAAATCTACAGAACAAAAGAAAAAAGGATTCAATGAAAATAATATAACAAAACATGAAGAAAATATATATAAAACAGAAAATCAAGAATCCCAAAAAAATATTAAAAATAATATAGAAACAATACAAGTTGAGGTAAATTAATATATTTATATTTTGAATAAAGATGAAAAATTATAATTAAAAATATATTTTTCAGTTAATGCAAGAGAAAATTCCTTCATCTGCACATAAAAAAAGATCTTTATCTGCTAAATCTAAACAGAATATATCTTCTACATCCTTATCTGAAATAACTCCTTTACAATTAGATAAAAAAATAGATGAAAAGCAAAAAGAATCTGAAAACAAATCAAAGCATACAATACGTACTGAAAATAATGAATTACAAAATCAAATAGTTAATATACCAAATTCTGTAAATTCTGAATTGAAATCTACATCAATTGTAAAAGATAATAAAATAGATGAAGATACAAATAAATTACAAAAAATGCAAATTACAGATAATGAAATTTCTGTACAAAATATTAAGAAATCTGATCAGTCAACATCAGAAATTCAAAGAATTCAATCAGAAAATAAAGATGCTAGGTATTAGTTATCTAATACTTTATCTTATAAAAGGTTAAATTAAAACATTTGTAACATTTAATAATAAATGTTTTTAGTATTTCACAATCAACTTCTAGACCAAGAACTTCTTTACGTCCACCTAGTTCAAGACCAATTAGTGCTAGACCTGCAGCACCCAAAATTCGAGGAAAAACAGAATTAATTATTAATGAAGAGATATTGTTAGAATCATTTTTAAATTATTTACAAAAAAAGTTTATACGAAGTATGAATTATTAGTATTTTCTTTTAGGACACCTATGGGAAGTATTAATGTTATTGTAGAAAATTCTGATCTCAAAGAAGATGATGATGCTGAAGATATGGTAGTTATGGAAACTAAAGGAAATGGTAGTGATTCTTTAGAAAATAATGCAAATTTTAAAATTAATAATCAATTAACACAAGAACATGGGCATCTAGTTGCTCAAATATTAGAAACACAAAAAGAATTGGTTAATAATGATAATGTAGATATAATGCCTAAAAAAACAAATATTGTAAGTACAATTCAATCATAATTTATTTTTATTGTCATACTATTATAACATAAAATTCTTTAATATATGAAGTATAAATTTGTTTTTAGGCATGGGATATAAGTTCAAAGCGTGACATAATAACAAAGGAAATTGATAAACTACGAAATACAATACAAACTTTAACTCGTGCAACAAATCCACTTGGAAAGTTATTAGATTATTTTCAGGTATTTATTAATTTATTATTTGTTATGATATATTTATAATATAAGTTATTATTTATAGGAAGATGTAGAAATTATGCAAAAAGAATTATTAGAATGGAAAAATCAATATCAACAAGTAAATGAACAATTAAAAATTGAAAAAATGTAAGAATATATAAATTTTATATATAAAAGAATATATCATTTATTATTTAAGATTATACATATATATAATATTAAATATAATAATTCTTTTCAGGAAAACACAAGAATTAATAGAACCTATGAAGGAAACGTTAAAAGAAATTGATCATAATGTGAAAATACAATTGAATAAAATATGTCAAGCAAAATCACAAGTTATGAAAAATGATCAAAGAATACAAACGTTATTAAATGGTCATATTTAATTTTCATTAGAATATTTTATTAATTTTAACATAATTTGTTTCTTTTTTAAGTTATAATTAAATTATAATTAAGTTTATAATCAATTATTGTACATATACAACAATGAAATATGTATAAAATGTAATATAATACCCATAAAAAGTCTTATAATTTTTACGTTTATTTATTACTTATTAGAATAAGAACATTTGTACAAAATATATAATTTAATCTTATTATATCATTTATAAATATTTCTATTAATAAATTTTCAACTTATTTTTTAACTTCGTATTTATCTTCTAAAATTGAAATTTCATCTTGAGATACATTTTCGACTGTCTTGCAATATTCGAAAATCATTTTTAAACCTAAAGATTAATAAAAAAATCCATTGAAAAAAAATATTACCAATATTTTACTTTAGATTTTATGCAACAATACATACTTCTTTATCACTGTCACTAATAAACATAATAAATGTTCTAAATCGTTTAACTTGACTGAGATCTTTTAGATAATGGAATATTAAGTCTTTCCTTTTTATAAATTCTATTTTTAAAACTTCTATTATTTGACAGAAAATATCAGACTCCATTGAATCTTGAAATATTTTAGGTAAACTGTCTTTTGGTAATTGCTGAAATTTGATTTAATAGTTTCATTATAATTTACTAATTTACAAATTGTGATTACAATACTTCATTTACTAAAAAATTATAATCTTTAAATATATTTTCCCACCTTTAAATATTTATATCTAAATTCTGATGATTTATTTGTTTTCCAAGTCATTATAAATTGTACAGCTGTTTTAGGAATTGGAGGTACAATACTAATATCTTCCAAAGATTTAATAGTTTTAACAGAATTATTATTTTTCATAAGATTATTATCTTTACCAAATTCTTTTTTTTGTTGATCATTTTCAATGCATATTGTTTTGTTATTAATATAGTTATAATTAGTAACAAATTCCATTTCTTGAATAGGTATTTTTATCAATGATTTCTGTACAAATTTAATATAATAAATATTAATATATAATAAATAATAAATAATAAAAAATTAATATATATATATAATAAATATAATAAATATTAAATATATGTATAATAAATATTTTATATATCTATATATATATTTTAATTAATAATTTTACCTTTGAGTGTAAATGTGGAGGTTTTTCAATTGGTTCTATAACAATAACATTATCTTTTTCTGGTAACCAATCTGGAATACGTGGATCCCTTTCATTTTTTATATCTATATCATGCACATTATCTTTCTTATCTTTTATTTTATTTTTGTTTATAATATCTTTAATATTTTTATCATCCTCCATATAATTAATTTCAGTATTTTTAATATTTGTTGCTTTTAATGTAGTTTTATTCCACATTTTTTCAGCAATTTTTTTTTCAAATGTTATGTTTTTAGATAATTCTTTTGTATCTTCTTCTACTTCAGTGCTTGTCTATATGAAATATTTTTTAATATCTTGAATAAATAAATTTAATTAAATGATTTTAATTTTTATTTATTAATTACCTTTGAATATTTAATCTTGTTTTCAATTTGATTAAATAATAATTTAGCTTCCTTATTAAAAGGTTCTAATTTTAAAATTTTTTCTAAATCTAATTTAGCTTCCTTGTATTGTTTTAAATTCATTCTAGCTATTGCCCTTCTATGATAAGCTTTTATATAAGTTTCATCTAATTGTATTGCAGCAGAGCAATCAGATTCAGCAGAATAGAAACTGCAGAAAAATATAATATTTTTATAAAAATATAATATCTAACATCATTTTACTGTTTTTAATTTAATATGCAGATTGTAATTAGAATATATATACATATATATATGTACTTGTCTAATTTTAATTGACAAAGTGCACGGTTTGCATAAAATATTGCATCATGTGGAAATATTTTTATAGCATTACTATAACAACCAATTGCTTTAGACCATTTTTCTTGTTGCACAAAAATATTGCCTTCATTTTTATGTTTCGTTGCTTCTTGATGTGCTATTTCTAATTGTTCTTTAGATATTGATTCATCTTCAGATTCATCTGAATAGATGAATTCTTCTTCATCTATTTCCTTGCATGCTTTATCCTTTAAAATAATATAAATAATATTAAAATTATAAAACTTTATTTTTTTAAACACAAAATTTTAAAAGTATTTTTCACATATTGATAAAATTTGATAAATAGATTCCAAGAATCGCAATTTTTAATTAGGAATTTATGATAAAAAATCATTAATATTTTTAAATATTTATACTCAAAAAATTAAAATTTAGAACTTAATTTTTATTAAAACTTAGAAGAAAACATATTTAGTTCTCAAGCTATCAAAGAAAGTTATATGAAAATATTATTTTAAAATAAAATTTCATTAATAACATTCAAAATTAATTTAATTTTTACAACATAATAATAAAACTTACTACATCAAATTTATCCCAAGCAGAATAGTCATAAGATTTTATTTTTTTCGATTTAATATCAACTTCATTTATTTTTTTTGAAATTTTTTTTATTTTATTTTTATGTTTGGTTCTAATTGGTGGTAGAGTGGCCTACAAAAAACATTCTTATATATATATTATAAATATTCTTACTATTCTTGCTTTAACAAAAAGATGACAATTTTTACCTGACAATTTCGTTCTTTCCTCAATTCATCATCTTTACGTTTCATTTGTTCTTCCCAATTCTTCATATCAAGAAATTCTTTTTGTAAATCTTCTGCATTATCTTTCACTTGCTTTTGTATTAAAATTGATTTATCCATTTTTTTATTATATTATAATTATTACGATAAATAAAATCAAAATATCAATTGCAAATTTAGGTTAATTTTTGCGCTTTCTAAAAAATTAATAATGATTTCATCATTTACGTATTAGTTTATTAAAATATTTGATTATTTAAAATAAAATTTTTACTTTATTCGCAAAATATATATTCTTATATCATAAAAAATATTAATATGATAAAAAGTTAGCATAATTCATTAATTCATATTAAATTTATTATATCATGTTTTAATCACGAAATTTTCTTAATTTTCTTATTTTTATATAAAAAATTTTTCTTTGTAAATTAATGTTAGAACTTTTAATATTGTTAGTAATAAGTAATTTTAATTATGTTAAAATTATCATATATAACACTTCCAACAAATTTCGAAATCTGTTCTTAAATATTATGCCATAAATAACATTAGAATAGACTTAATATTTAATGTATTTTCTTGTTCAATATTTTGAGAATTATGCTTAAGAGCCCTCATTATATAAAAAAGTGAACTAACTAAGTTATTCATTATCTATATTGTATCTTATTTATAGCATAGACAAAAAGTAGAATAGATGTGATATCTTATGAAATATTACATTGTATCGCATGTTTAACATATCGACAATTTGTATTTCTTACATTATCTAGCATGTTATAATTTAAGTACTGTTATCACAGATGACAGATTATAGATCTAATATGTATGCTACGGACGAGATAAGAATCAGACGTAGTATAAAAAAATATAAGAATATGATCCAAAAATATAAAAACATCTATTAATTAAAAATTCCTGTGATAATTTCAAGTAACATTTTTCTGTACATTTTTCATTACGACTTTATTAACAAAAAATACTGACCAATCATAAAGCACGTAGCATAGTTGAATTGTTATAAGAGTGTCGGTTACATATTAACTGAGCACGAATAAATCTAAATAACATATGTTGGAAAAAGTGTATTAAATATAATAAATATTTTTTATCGATAAAAAATTATATTGAATTATATTATTGAATAAATTATATAATATTCAATATTTTGTATATACCACTATCTAGTATAAGAATAGATCATTAGTAGTAACTTTTATAACTCAAATTTATCTATCACCAACTTAAAAATTTAACATTCATTTTAATATCATCTGCTATGAAAGTATGCAATGAAATAGTTATTAAAATATAAATAACTATTAAGTTCAACAAAATATTTATATGTGACAAACAGTTATTATTTAATGTACATGATTTTTGTCACTAAAACAATGTTATTAAGACAATAAAATTGCGGCGATATATTGCAGACTTATAATTGTTGAATAGAATACTATGATAATCATTTTTATATTTTTGTAGCTTTTTAAATAATTATATGAAATATATGCGAAGATTTTTTTTAAATAAATAATAAATATCGACGAAAATAAAAATATTTTAATCTTTTTTTAAAATCATATATATATATACAATTATTAAATAAATATGATAAATATAATATAAGCAAAAATTTTGAAAAATTCCTTTATGAGATTAATTGTTTGTTATAACAATTATTAATTTAATACATCTTTTTTTTTTATTTTTTTTATTTTTCAAGAAAAAATCATTTGATTTACAATGATGTATATTATTTGATATATTTATATATATTATATGATATATATTATTTAATAATAACATTTTTAAAAATTCATTTATTAAAGATAATAATAAAGTAAAATAAAATTCGAATATATTATTATAAAATAATATATTTTATAATTTATTATATTTATTATATATATAATAACATATTTAATTAATAACATTAATTAATATATTATTTATATATAATAAATATTATTTATTATTATATATGTATAATATATAATAATTAATTAGTAATTAAATACAATATAATTTAACAAGTATAATATAAAAAATGCAATGTGAAAAGGAATTTTTTCTTAATTCCTGAATTTCAACCAGTTAATTTTAATCACATAAATATATTATTATTAGTAATATCTAAAAAATAATAAATAAAACTTAATAGTATATAAAAAATAGAGAATGCTTTTTTTTTCATTTTAGTTTCATTATCATTATATAAATATAAATGTACATTCATATACATAAACATATATATATATAATACATATATGTATATATGATATTGATTGTTAAGATTTTTGTTAGAGAATATCATTCTAAATCTCAGAATCACGTTACATTCTAGTGAGATTAAAGTTTTAAAAATTATATGATTGTAAGTATTCTTTAAATAATTTATGAAAATGATATAAAAATATTAAATTGAATTAAATTAATATAAAAATAATTTCTTAAAAAATATTCTTTAACTTTAATATCACCTTGTATTTTTTGTTTTAACAGGAAACAACTTTTAAGAATCCGGTAATAATGGAAAGATTTCTGTACAAATTTTCATTAAATGGTTAAATTTCATACTTCAACACTTAGTATTCAAACAAAGGATTAAGAACTAACTTTGGCTGTACTTTCAAAAAAAATTTATGTTTCTGATTGATTGAAATTTGAAAAGGTTAGAAGAAAAGAGAAATTATAAATGAGTCATGGATAGACAATACTGATAATTAATATTTTTATTATTATTATTTTTTTCACTTGTTTTAATTTCAGTGATCGAAAAAAAATATTCAATACTTTTTGTCTGCATAAAAAGCAGTTAAAATTATAAGATTTGCTATGTTAAAGATTCTAATCTCTATATATTATTGTAAAAAAACTTTTAGTTTTGATATATAATTTCTCTGTTATTAACAACCAGTCAATTACATTATAATAAGTTATTGTATCGCTGCAATGTATCAAAACAAACTGTTATTACATTATCAACTACTTGATATTCAATGACTATGATTGTTATTTTGAGTAGTATTATCTGTATAAAAAAAGTTTAAGTTTTAGTTTAAGTTAATGTTTTTTATTAAAAGTTTTTTATCAATATTTAAAACTAATAAAAATCCGAATATATAAGATATATAATAGATATATAATAGAATTTTAGATTTAAATTTTATTCTCTCTTCTTTTTCTTTTCTTAAATTTGTTAATCGAAAATTTATGCTTATCAGTAAAATATCCTTTTTTTCTATTATGAAAATAGTTTTAATAAAATTATATTTAGACAAAATTTTACATTTTATAATAAAATAAATTTAAAAAATTAACAATGTTTTTATAATTTCATAATAAAAAAAAGCATAAATTTTTGTTTAATTAGTTAATAAAATTGATATATAAAAATCTTATGGTGTAAAGATCTTCTAATTTATATAACATAATACATACTATAATATATATAAAAATGTAAAAAATATAAATATATGTAATTATATTTTTTTTATATTATTTTTGTAATTATATTTTTATGTGTTTTCTTTATCAACTTGTATAGTTTAATATTTATATATAATTTTTATATTCATCATTCTGAATCATAAAAAATGTATTTAAAGACTCTGATTTTTTTATATAATTAATATTTCAGATCATGAAATAAGAAGTTTAATTAAATTTGGTCTATCATATACTTTATCTATGGTATAAACATAGAACCATGCAAATCATGTAAAGTATTTTGTGATTCTTTGACTATAGATGTAGTACATAAATGGCCTAAAGTTTCATTACACGTCACTCGCTTTGTTTTCAACAGAATACAAAATTTAATTTTGATGTTTATTTTAGAAATTATAAATGCTGTAGCGAATGAAATACACAACATCTTAAAACAATAAAAATCTGTGAAATAATTAATTGTTATAAAATTATTTGGCAGAATAATAATGAAAACAAAAAGTGAAATCTAGATTAATAAAATTCCTTGAATTGCTATTAATTAATATTAATTTTTATATAATATTTAACATATATTAAAAAAAAAATAATTAATAATGATTGAAGAAAATTATCGCAGATAGAGTTAATGGTTATTTGAACATTTATATTGATGTGATTATTTTCTTTTAAAAATTATTTTTTTTTTTTTTGCTTAAAAAAATAATTATTTGATGAAGACGATAATTGTATAACATATTACACTTTTTTTTCTTTTTGTACATAAATAAAATGTACGATTTACAAATTTCATCTTCTAAGTCTTAGCACAACTATAATTGGTAATATAATTGATAGATATATCAGATATATAAAATTTATTTAATGCATTATGAATTAAAACAGCGAATTTAAATAATTTTGATTGTATTCTTTTATTCAATGAAATGGAAATGAATAAAAAATTTTTAATATCTATTCACATAAATAAATTGAGGATTTTAAGGATTTAAGATTTTTAGAAATACGAAAATAAACCAGATTCTTCATGATAAACCTTGCTCAATAATTAGAAACAACATTTAACAGCATTCGTTAAAAATAGAAAAGAAATAGAAAAAAAAAATAGAAAAATCAATAATTTATCTGAAATGTTAGATAATATTTTAAATATTTTTTGATAGTACAAGTTTGAATTTGAATGTTAAAGAAGCAAAAATTAATATTCAAAATCCTTATTTTATTAAAAACAACAAAAAATTCATATTTATTTTTTATTTAAGTATTTATATTTATTTAAAAGCGTAAGAAATAATTTATTAAAATGTTATTTCTAAACACAAATATTCTAATGTTATTATTTATGGAATTTAGAAGATAAAAGAATAATTTATTAAAAACATATAAAACCAAATAATTTTGACAAAATCAAATATAATCTCGTGTTGCAAATATTTAACAAAAAAATTTGCATACTGCTTTGCATACTTCTATAAATTGTATAAAATCGAAAGGGGTACTTGCATATTGATTTTTTTAGACTTTTAATGATCTGTTTAATAATTTAAATAATAATAAATTTTATAATAATGATCCTAATTCAAATAAGTATGTCATTTCTAATTTATGTCCTTTAGTTAAAATTTGTAATAACAATTAAACAATATTCTTAATTGTATCTTTTTGTAAACATTCTGTTAAAAAAAATTCCATCTTATTTTTTAGACTGATTTTGACAATCAGTAATTATCACAATTATACAATTTTGACATGATTTAAAATGGCAAGGCACTATATTTCTGATATCTTCTCGTTTGAATAGATAATAGTTTTTTTTTTCAATTTTTCTGAATACATAATGGTATTATAATCAAAATATATTTGTAAAAATGATGTATCTAATTATTAAAAAAAATATGAATATTGAATTTAAATAATAATTATCTAAAAATAATAAATAATAATAATTAATTACTAATTATCTAAAATAATAAATAACAATAATTGATCTAACTATAGTAATAATTCAATTTAATGACAATTTAATAATGTACGTTATTACATGAATATGTAATATTGACTTAATATACAGCATCTAAATTAATAATTTCATTTTGAAATAGAAAAAGATATTAATGTCGAAAATAAAAATATATAATTAGAAATTGACATAAGAATATTGTCAATATTAGTATATTCTTTAAAAATGTACGCAAAAGAATATTTCGTTAGTTACATTATTTAAAAAAAACACGAAAAAATTTAATTATGTTTCATTATACTTTTAATTATATTTTAAATATATTTCATATTTTATTGTATCATATTTTAATTATTTTATTAATAATAAATGGAGAATTTTAGCACGAACTAAATACTGCGAAATACTAATAAGTCTTTTATGCATATATTGTTCATGCACTTATTTATGGATTTATTGGTATTTTCTAATAATTTTTCCAATACTTTAAATGTCATAAAATTATAATAAATGTCATATTGTTGTATTCATTTTTATCATTAGACGAGATATTCATTTTAAATAAACTATTTCGGATTATATACAAAGCTGTACATAAAACTCGAATTGGTTTATAAAAAAAATAAATGTGCAGCATATTATAAAAATATAATTTATTTAATAATGATTATCAAAATTCGTAAGGATACAATGGACTCAAATATTCACTTACATATAAATTATAAAATTATATAATTAATATAATTAATATAAAATTATAAAATTTAAAAAATTTTTAATGAAATAAGCAATTCAAGTATATATTAAATGACTGATATTTATGCAAACATTTATGCAAATTTTATTACAATTATTATAAAATTTTTTATTTTCATATACTGTTTTCTATTTTTAATATTTTATATTTTGTATTTTTTTATATATATATATTCGTATTTATTAGAAACATCAATGTCTCCAATTTCTTAAAATTAAGGCTTACAAATATCTATATGTACATGCAATATTCATATACATATTATAAATATATGTAAATATAGATGTGTATATAATATATATATAATTGTATAATTGTATTTATATAATATATATAATAATAATAATTCACTGATTTTAATATTATTAAGAGAAATATATATAGTTTAATATAGTTTCGTTGATAATAATTTTTTCTTGAATGACTATATTATAATGTATTATAATATGACAATTTTTATTATTTATTTGCTGCTTTGAACACATTTAGAATTTGCTTTGTATATTTTGTATATTTTTAAAATAATATTACAACAGTATTGCATGTTGTAGTTTGATATTTTTTTTTTCTTAACATTGCATTGATTTATTATTATAGAAATATTAAATATTCTGAAATTATTAAATTCTTTTTTTACTTTCACGTGATCAGTGCAGTTAATGTATACAAATATAAATAATAATAAATATTAATTAATGTTTTATTTAATTAAAAATAAATATGTTTAATATATTTATATATTTATCTAATAATTATAAAAAAATAATGAATAATGTTTATGAAAATAAAAAAAAAGTATTTAAAATTTTCTATTTTTTATATAGATAAAAATAATAATAATGACATTTATAAATATAGCTGAAAATGAACTAACTAGTTAAAAATCAATAACAGAAAAATAATAAATTTATTTTTGTACTATACTTTTTTATATTTATTAAACTATTGTAATTAATCTTTATATATTATATATTATAAATAATATATTAATAAAAAATTTTATAATTATATATATTATATTTATAATCATAATTTATTCTAATTTTATTTTATTCTTAATAAATGATTCTCTAAAATTTATTATCAAATATTAGATAATATATATATATATATTATTAATCTTTGATTTTTTTCTTTGCTATCGATAAATAAAAGATAATAGATAAAGATTTATGATCATTAAATTATAATTGTTATAATAAATATAATTAATTTCGTAAAAGATTTTCTCAAAATATTTTTCATTTTTTATATTATTAAATTTATTTAATAATCAAATCAGATATAATTATTACATATACAATAATATTAATAATATTAATAATATTAATATTAATATAATTATTATTATTAATATATATTTTGTACATACTTTGTTTTTGTATCAGAAATATTTCACGAAAAAATATTTCAGACAAAAAAAAGTTATATGGTATTAAGGAGGACATATTATTATGATAAATTTGACTTTGAAATAATCTTTAAATGTCCTATGAAGATCATATTTAAATTTTTAAATAGAATCCTATATTTTTTTATCATACATATATCCTATAATGAGAAAGAAAAATAAATGGACACTTCAAAATACTATTTATACATATATTTTCTTTTAAATCTTTATTGAGTTATTAACTTTCAAAGTTATGTGTTGATATTAATTGGATTAGACTAATATTATGATTATCAAAATTTTTATAAATACAATTTATTCTTATAAGAATACATAAAACAAATAGTTTTTCACATTTCCAAATTTGGCATAATTGAAAATACAATTATGCCAAAGAATAATAAATAGAAATCAATGCATAAATAAATAATATCTAAAATATTAGAGAAGAAGAAATGAAAAAATAATTTTAGCAAAGATTATAGAGATATTTTTTCAATAATGGAGCACATATTGAAGAATAGTTTCTCTTTTTTTATCTCTTACTCTTCGTCTCTCTCTTTTTTTTCTTTCTTAGATACATAAAATTAGTTCTTTTTAGAACTATCATAATATACAAAATCCGAACAAGTTTTTTGCGATACATCAAGTGAGCATTTGATTTTATCGCGTTATTGTTATTTATAAGACGTTAAAATGAGTGTCAAATTTTTAAATTAGTATGAATTAAATTTAAGCCATGAAATAAGATAATTAAGACAATTAACCTATTCTTCATCCGTGCTTTAAATAAATTAAGATATATTACATGATAGATTTATTTTGAATCTAAATTTATTCTCATCGATATTTGTATTTCGTCTGTGTTTTTATTAATTTCATTCGATAAAATTTAATTTTAATTCCAATTGCTATAAATTACAATCATTTGAGCCGATAACGTTGCATATGATACAAAGGAGATAATTTTTGTGATATAAAAAAGCATTAGATCTATCATATCTACTCTTTACTTTTATGTATTCATTTATGAAATAAAATGTATCCTACTTTTACTTTTGTACTTCGTCTATGGTTTAAACAATATAACTTTTAATTGAAATTATTGATAGTAATTTAATTAATTAAAATATATGTGCATGTATTAGACACATGTATAAGAATAAAAAATTTATATAGAAATAAAAAATTTTCAATAAATTTACACAAATTAAATTTCTTATATGATGACTTTAAAAAAATTATTATAAATACACAATTTATTAATTTAACGGGATAATAAAGATTAATAATAAAGATTTTAGTTATAATTAAATGCTATAAAATATTATATATTTAGATATAAATTAGGAACATATATATTTATACAGATTCTTTATTCTAATATCAATCACAATTATTAAGTATAAAATATTAACTAATAATCTATTTCAAACAAAACAAAAATTTTAATAAAAATACAATCCATTAATGATATTCTTAATATACATCATGAAACATTTTTGCATAATTGAATTAAATATATTTTTTTAAAAATAAAAAATAATTAAATAATAATAGAACCAATAAAATAATATTAAATTAATAAATCGAATAATAATTGCTTAACATAGCTTGACATTCGACCTCTTTTAGATTTGGGTATCTGCCATCGGATCAGAATTGACCAGCTTCAATGTTAATATTCGCTATGACGATTTTCTTAGCGAATCAGTTTACCACTAACTAGCCTTGGATGCACATAACTGATCAAACATTTTTTATATCGGAAGTTTTTTTGATAAAAAATTTCTTTCAAATTAATAATGTGATAATAAATCACATTCTAAAATATAACTAATAAAATTTATGTGTTGTTGTATATTTAAAAATTCTTTAAAACCATAAACAATTTTATTATAAATTCTTTTTAATTCAATTAGTGTAATATATATGTGGTAAATATTTATTAGGTGTTCATGGAATATGTATTAAAAATAATTAAAAGTATTAAAAAGTGCATTTATTTTTCACATGCCGTGTGCATAAAATTCAAATTTTAAATAACTGAAATAGTTGGAAACAAATCTGCATAAAAGTATTTTATGCAACTCTTAAAATAGATTTAATTTAAAACATCTACAAAAAACAAAAAACACATAAATCGATAAATGATTATTTTTAATTAAATTATTTTATACAATTATTTTATACAAATATTTCCAATAAAATAAAAAACATTAGAATTGATTTTTATGAATATGAAAAAATTATCAGTGTTACTAAATTCAATCAAGTTTTGATAATAATTAAAATAATTAATTTCTTTCTTATGCAAGAATAAAATTTAATTCATAACAAATAATTTATCTATTGATAAATAATTCATTTGCATTACATAAATATATAATTTTTGCAAAGTATTTCATATATAAAGTAATAATAATAATAAGAAAAAATATATTTTTAATATTGAAATAAATCAATATATAATATTTATATTTTTATTAAATTTCAAATATCGTGTTAAATTATTTAAATATAAAAATAATTTTAAGAAATATTTACTATACATATAATTCTATACAAAAATATATCTTTTTAAAATATAATCCTTTCATAATATATATATATTTTTGAATTCTATGTTAATATATTAATTATATATTTCTATTCAGTTATCTGAATAGATAATAAATAGTTAATAGAGAATAAATTTAACTAACTTAATCTATTTAAAATTATTATATTACAATTATATTAAAACGGAAACATTTCGGCCAATGTCGCATGCTTCTTTCAAACAACATATTTTTAGATCGTTTTCTCGAGGAACATCGAGCGGCCATCAGACGACCTATTAGACACGTGTCATTAGAAACAACACAGAACAAGTAAACTTATATATATATTGATTGCTATATCAATGATTCACAAAGAAAAAATTCAATTGAAAAAATAAATTTATAAATCAGATATTTTTTATTAAATAATGATAATAAGAATATAATTTTTCGTTAAAAATATTATTCGTTTAAAATATTTTTTGTTAAATTAAATATTTAATATTAATAATGTATTATTAATTTAATATTAATATGTAATTGTATAAAAATAATTTTTATATAACATTTCTGTTAGTTATAATATAAATCTATTAATTAGAAAATTTCTTATATATTAATATATTTATTATTTATTCTTATTTTTCAAAGATTTTTAATATAGAGAAGAATTTTATTTTAATAGCGCATAAAAGATTCAAAAAAATAACTGAAAATATATAAACTATTAGAAAAGTTTTGTTATAAAAGAAAATATTTAAATTGTTTCTAAGTTTTATAATCAAGATTTAACAAATAAGATATTTCAAATTATGAACTATTGAAAATTTAAGTATCAATTAATAAATAATATTAATACTGAATAAGATTTATTTAATATTTTAAATTTTTTGTCATAAGAAATTATAATGTTCAAAAAATCAAAAAAATATATAGTGCTAAAATATATATAGTCTTTTTTATTGATTAATTATAAATTATTACATTAATCATTTATAAAATCTTCACTGAAGATTTTTTACGATGGTAATTTATTATTCTTTTTAATTGAAAAATCTTCTGAATATTATATGATAATAATTTATTAATCCAAGAAAAATTTTTACTAGTAAATAATACTTAAGATGCAATTGTGATATAAATGTTATGTTTACTCAAACGACAGTTATTCCGATGTTCGAAGTTATATTTAACAACACTGCTACATATCTACTGGCACAAATCCCAAACTATTCGACATTATTTATGATGCATAGACAAAAAAAAATCATACAAACACTTCTCAACAATTCTTGCATATTAACAATAACATATTGTACAGTAATGTAATTTTTTTCTTTTTCAATATCTTTATTCATATTTATCTAATTTGTATTTTCAAGTATAAAACCTCTTTTTCTATTTGATTAAGATTAATAATTAAATATTTATAATTTTTATTTTTAAATTAAAATATTTTAATGAATTAAAAATTGAAAAAATTAAAATGATTATTTTTCGATAATAATAATAATGTAATATTCGATTTTTAAATTTTTATTTAAAATTATAAAATATTATGTTAAATAAACTGTTATATTTATGCTACATTAAACATTTCATCTGCTTACAGAAATCTACAATGGATTTTAAATTAATAATTTTTTCACGGAAAAAAAATTATAAACAAGATAATTGAAATTATTAGAAAAATGTCTTATTTCATCATATATTTACTTTACAATTTCTAAGGTATTTATTAATCTAAAATGTTATGAAAATGATATAAAATTTATGCAAATAAAAAATCCAATATTTGAAGAAAGTATTTATATTATTATTATATATTAATTATATATAAGTATTATATATAAGTATTATACAAATAATTTTTATTAGATTTATAAAGATGAAGTTTATAGTAACAATGAAAAGAAAGAAATTACCATTGTTACGACAAAATTACTTCCATTACGAACCTGACAAATATTGAATGAAGGAAGGATGACTGTTTCATATCAGTATCAAGTCGCAAACTCTACCAGAGGTGGATTCACCAGACTCCTTTTTATGTGGAGAGGATCACTTTACAAACTTATCTATAGAGAATTACTTTTATTTCTAATTTTATTTGCTGGACTTTCTGCTATTTACCGTCATATATTAAATTCTACGCAAAAAAGGTTCGCAATTCAATTTTTATTAAACAGTATTAAAATAATGAGTTAAATTATAATTTATATAATTAATGTTTTTATAATTAAGCTTTTGTATTATATATTTATATTAATACACAAAAATTGTAATAATAAAATAGAAATGATATTTATCTCATTATAAATTATTAATAAAATAAAAAAAAACATTAAAAAATTAATTATTAATTAAACTATTTTATATTTAGAGAATTTGAACAGATCGTTATTTACTGCGATAATTTTATTAATTTAATTCCATTAAGTTTCGTTCTTGGATTCTATGTATCTTATGTTGCTCAAAGATGGTGGCAACAATATCAAGCAATACCTTGGCCTGATAAGTAAGTTATAAAAATAAATATTTAATAAAATATAAAACTTAATATTAATGATTATTATTGATAGAGTTATGCATTTAATTGCGTTATATATTACTGGAAATGATGAATACGGTCGTACTCTTCGAAGATCTCTGATGCGTTATTTGAATCTTTCCTTGATACTTGTGTTACGTTCAATCAGTTCAGCAGTAAAAAAACGATTTCCAACACTTGATCACGTCGTTGATTCTGGTAAAGTTTTTTTTTTAACTGAATATAATTTTAAGCCGTATATATTCCCAAAATATATATATAATATAAATTTACTTACTTTGAAGATAAAGACTAATAAAGACTAATAAGTCAAAATTATGATGTGAATGAAAATAAAAAATTTTTATAAGTAAGAATAAAAACCATAAATAAATTTGAATTAAAAACTTATTTTGATAGAAGTAAATCTTTTTTAAAATATATATAAAATTTATATAAAATTTTTTTACATCTATGAAAATTATAATATAAAAATTTTTAATAAAATCAATTTTTAATATTGACACTTAATTAATATTATTAATTAATAATATTGATTGATCAAATAATATCACTTTGTAGGTTTTATGACATCACTTGAATTAGATTTGTTTTTGGCAGTTCCGAGTTTAGAATTCAACACTTATTGGATCCCTTGTACATGGTTTATTAATCTTCTAAAAGAAGCGCGCCAAAATCATAGAATTCCTGATCCTCAGGGATTGAAATTAATTATGGAGGTATGTTTTATAACATAAAAAGAATATGTAATTATAAAGTTTATATATAATCCATATTAATAAATTATATTAATAAGTTAAATAATATTAAATAATAATCATGACAGGAATTTAATGAATTTCGTACAAAATGTGGCCTTTTATGGAGTTTCGATTGGATATCAATTCCATTAGTTTACACACAAGTAGTAACGTTAGCAACATACAGTTTCTTTGGAGTAGCTTTAATTGCTCGCCAATACATCGAAGGCAAAGAAAAACAATTCCAATTACAAATTGATATTTATGTACCTATTTTTACGATTCTACAATTTTTCTTTTTTATGGGTTTATTAAAGGTATTTTTAATTTTTACTATTGTGAAAATATAATAATAATTATTAAAATAAATAAATTATCAAAATAATAATAAAATATAATATAATATTTTAATAGGTAGCAGAACAATTAATTAATCCCTTTGGTGATGATGATGAAGACTTTGAATTAAATTGGATAATTGATCGTCATACCAAAGTATAATTGAACTTCTTTATCTATATATTTTTTAATATGTTTAAATTATATAATTTTATTTTTTATTTTTTATACTTAATATTAATTAATTAAAATATATTGTATTTTAGGTATCATATCTTGGAGTAGATACTCTTATGAATCGATGTCCACCATTAGTCAAAGATATTTATTTTGATGCTGAAAATCTAATCTTACCATATACTGAAGCAGCAGCAGCTTATAAAAAGAAAACTTATCGTGGTAGTGTAGCAAATATGACGTTAGTATTGTAAATGAAAATTGTTAATGAATATTTAAAATGTTAAGTAAGGAAGTAATTTTAAAATCAATATTTATTAATATTTAGAGTTCCTGAGGAAAAACAAACTATGTTTCTACCAGATGTTATAGAAGAAGAAGAAGAAGATATAAAATCTTCACATCATACATCAACTATAAGTTTAGCTAATGATAGTCCATTATGTGAAAGACGGTAAAATTATGATA